GGCCGAGAAGTGCATTCTGGCTACTAGGTACGACATATATATATATATATATATATATATATATATATATATATATATTATATATATATATATATATATATATATATATATATATATATATATATATATGTCGTACCTAATAGCCAGAACGCACTTCTCAGCCTACTATTCAAGGCCCGATTTGCCTAATAAGCCAAGTTTTCATGAATTAATGTTTTTTCGTCTACCTAACCTACCTAACCTAACCTAACCTAGCTTTTTTTGGCTACCTAACCTAACCTTACCTATAAATATAGGTTAGGTTAGGTTAGGTAGGGTTGGTTAGGTTCGGTCATATATCTACGTTAATTTTAACTCCAATAACAAAAGTTGACCTCATACATAGAGAAAAGGGTTCCTTTATCATTTCATAAGAAAAAAATTATAGTAAATATATTAATTCAGGAAAACTTGGCTTATTAGGCAAATCGGGCCATGCATAGTAGGCTGAGAAGTGCGTTCTGGCTACTAGGTACGACATATATATATGTATATATATATATATATATATATATATATATATATATATATATATATATATTATATATATATATATATATTTATATATATATATATATATATATATATATATATATATATATTATATATATATATATATATATATATATATATATATATATATATATATATATGTCGTACCTAATAGCCAGAACGCACTTCTCAGCCTACTATTCAAGGCCCGATTTGCCTAATAAGCCAAGTTTTCATGAATTAATGTTTTTTCGTCTACCTAACCTACCTAACCTAACCTAACCTAGCTTTTTTTGGCTACCTAACCTAACCTTACCTATAAATATAGGTTAGGTTAGGTTAGGTAGGGTTGGTTAGGTTCGGTCATATATCTACGTTAATTTTAACTCCAATAAAAAAAATTGACCTCATACATAGAAAAAAGGGTTGCTTTATCATTTCATAAGAAAAAAATTATAGTAAATATATTAATTCAGGAAAACTTGGCTTATTAGGCAAATCGGGCCTTGAATAGTAGGCTGAGAAGTGGTTCTGGCTACTAGGTACGACATATATATATATATATATATATTATATATATATATATAATATATATATATATATATATATATGTATGTCGTACCTAGTAGCCAGGACGCACTTCTCAGCCTACTATGCAAGGCCCGATTTGCCTAATAAGCCAAGTTTTCATGAATTAATGTTTTTTCGACTACCAAACCTACCTAACCTAACCTAACCTAACTTTTTCGGCTACCTAACCTAACCTATAAAGATAGGTTAGGTTAGGTAGGGTTGGTTAAGTTCGGTCATATATCTACGTTAATTTTAACTCCAATAAAAAAAAATTGAACTCATGCATAATGAAATGGGTAGCTTTATCATTTCATAAGAAAAAAAATTGAGAAAATATAATAATTCAGGAAAACTTGGCTTATTAGGCAAATCGGGCCTTGCATAGTAGGCTGAGAAGTGCTTTCTGGCTACTAGGTACGACGTTATATATATATATATATATATTATTACTATGCCTTTTTCCTGTTTTTCAATGTGTAAGTGTTTAGTAGCCCTATAGTGATTAATAAGTGATTGATAGTGTACCTTTTATCTATATTTTGTTTTGCTACCACAGAGTAAATTGGTGTTCTCATTTCAACAGTTGTTTTCTTTATAAACCCTAGATATTATTGACGCCGATAGGCTACTGTGATTTTGGATAAATCTGACAAGAGCACGAGCCGCACTGAAATTGCGTTGTCGTAACAGTTTACACTAGACAACAGCAAGGAGGTACTGTAGATCCCTGGGTGAGGCTACTGACGTATGAGAGACACTGAGAGTCTGGATACATTTGATAGAGAGTAAAGGGTATCCAAACTTCCCCAGGCATTTGACATCTGCACCAGGTGCAGTGTGAACAGAGTTGTAAAGATTATGCAGTGGGCACTGTGCAAGAGAGATCTGTGCCCCAGACGAAGTGCCGTACACGACGCCTTGAGGAATACTCAAGGGCCGAAGTCGTATGAGAATTCCTTATTTTTCTCTGCCACCCTTTGATGATTGTGGGTCTGAGTTAGTCCTTGAGAGAGCTGCCAGACTCCTGTTTCGGTGAGTGACACCACGGAAACGTGCAACATCTACCCACTTCAGCAGAAATGTGAGTGACCTGCCTGCATCAAACATAATGGGAAAGTGACCAACTTGCATCGGCAGTAACTTTACTGTACACGATCAGCAGTAATGTGACTGTGCCTTCCCCAAGTCAGTAGTTAAATGAGAGACCTACCCGCATCAACAGAAATGTAAGAGCGACCAGTCTGCATTACCAGTTATGTGAGAGTGACCTACCCACAACTGGAATAATGTCTGAGTAAACAATTATCAATTATGTGAGTAACCTACCCACTTCAACTGTTGTGGAAGAGTGGCATACCCACGTCAGCATTAATGTGAGAGTGGCCTACCTACGTCATCAAAAATGTGAGAGTGCTTTAGTTGAGTCAGTAGTAACGTGAGAGTGACCTACCCGCCGAGCCTGGTCGACAACATGGGGGAGCCGCGTCAGCGTCATGTTAGCACCCTGGCCGTCCGCTGCCACCTCCCACACTGACACACTCGAGGAACTCGGTAAAAGGTTTTGATGAAGGTTTATGATATTGCTCTGTGAAGAAACATTTTAACATTATTACGTGACTTTTCTCCAGTTTATGAACAAAATTTCTATGATTTTTTCTGTTCTTTTGAACTGGAGAATTTAACAATTTCTGGAATATTAAAAGTTACTTATAATGTATATTAGTGTTTTCATTTACAATATTTTACTGTATCTGTATCTATTGCATCTCTATGTTGAGTCGTATGAGTGCCTGATTCCTGGATTTATTAGAGTATGTTTAAGATATTATGAGCATCAACAGCTCAGATATTATTTATATCCCAATTTTAGTGATCGGATTTAATAGCAGGAGTATATATAAAATGTGATGTCATTTTCGCCAGACTCAACAGGGAGATACATTGGAGTAAGACCTCAGCATCTCAAGGAGATGCCTGTCAACAACTGCTTCTCTGGGCTGATCTGAGACATAAGTAAACCATTCTTCTTCGGAGCATCCCTTTGTGCCCACCACCGCCGGCACTCGGATAGTATCTTGGGCATAGCATTTTACCAAATCACCTCATTCTTTGGGGCACACGTGAGGAACACAAATGCGAACAAGCCTGAATGGTCCCCAGACAATATGCACTGAAAACTCACACCCCAGAAGTGACTCGAACCCATACTCCCAGGAGCCACGCAAACTGGTATGTACAAGACGCCTTAATCCACTTGACCATCACGACCGGACATAATGAGGTGATAGCCGAGGCTATTTGAACCACCCCACCGTTCGGCACTGTGTTGATAGTAATCGTTGGGCTCATCCAGCACTGTTGTACCAAATCACCTCATTCTTTGGGGCACACGTGAGGAACACAAATGCGAACAAGCCTGAATGGTCCCCAGGACAATATGCAACTGAAAATGCAACTCATAATTGCATAATGCAACTCATTATGTCCGGTCGTGATGTAATAAGTGGATTAAGGCGTCTTGTACATACCAGTTGCGTGGCTCCTGGGAGTATGGGTTCGAGTTTCTGGGGTGTTGAGTTTTCAATTACCATCAACAGTATATGAAACATATATATATATATATATATATATATATATATATATATATATATCTATATATATATATATATATATATATATATATATATTATATATATATATATATATAATATATATATATAATATATATATATATATATATATATATATATATAATGTCGTACCTAATAGCCAGAACGCACTTCTCAGCCTACTATTCAAGGCCCGATTTGCCTAATAAGCCAAGTTTTCATGAATTAATGTTTTTTCGACTACCTAACCTACCTAACCTAACCTAACCTAGCTTTTTTTGCTACCTAACCTAACCTTACCTATAAATATAGGTTAGGTTAGGTTAGGTAGGGTGGTTAGGTTCGGTCATATATCTACGTTAATTTTAACTCAATAAAAAAAAATTGACCTCATACATAATGAAAAGGGTAGCTTTATCATTTCATAAGAAAAAAAATATAGAAAATATATTAATTCAGGAAAACTTGGCTTATTAGGCAAATCGGGCCTTGAATAGTAGGCTGAGAAGTGAGTTCTGGCTACTAGGTACGACATATATATATATATATATATATATATATATATATATATATATATATATATATATATATATATATAATATATATATATATATATATATATTATATATATATATTATATTAATATATATATATATATATATTATATATATATGTCGTACCTAGTAGCCAGAACGCACTTCTCAGCCTACTATGCAAGGCCCGATTTGCCTAATAGCCAAGTTTTCATGAATTAATGTTTTTTCGACTACCTAACCTACCTAACCTAACCTAACCTAACTTTTTCGGCTACCTAACCTAACCTAACCTATAAAGATAGGTTAGGTTAGGTTAGGTAGGGTTGGTTAGGTTCGGTCATATATCTACGTTAATTTTAACTCCAATAAAAAAAGAATGACCTCATACATAGAGAAAAAGGGTAGCTTTATCATTTCATAAGAAAAAATTAGAAAAAATATATTAATTCAGGAAAACTTGGCTTATTAGGCAAATCGGGCCTTGCATAGTAGGCTGAGAAGTGAGTTCTGGCTACTAGGTACGACATATATATATATATATCTATATATATATATATATATATATATATATATATATATCTATTATATATATGATAATATATCCACCACACACACACACACACACACATATATATATATATATTATATATATAATATATATATTATATATATATATTATATATATATAATATATATATATATATATGTCGTACCTAATAGCCAGAACGCACTTCTCAGCCTACTATTCAAGGCCCGATTTGCCTAATAAGCCAAGTTTTTCATGAATTAATGTTTTTTCGTCTACCTAACCTACCTAACCTACCTAACCTAGCTTTTTTGGCTACCTAACCTAACCTTACCTATAATATAGGTTAGGTTAGTTTAGGTAGGGTGTGGTTAGGTTCGGTCATATATCTACGTTAATTTTAACTCCTAAAAAAAATTGACCATACATAGAAAAAGGGTTGCTTTATCATTTCATAAGAAAAAAATTATAGTAAATATATTAATTCAGGAAAACTTGGCTTATTAGGCAAATCGGGCCTTGAATAGTAGGCTGAGAAGTGAGTTCTGGCTACTAGGTACGACATATATATATATATATATATATATATATATATATATATATATATATTATATACATATATATATATATATATACACCTAGTAGCCAGAACGCACTTCTCAGCCTACTATGCAAGGTCTGATTTGCCTAATAAGCCAAGTTTTCATGAATTAATTGTTTTTCGACTACCTAACCTACCTAACCTAACCTAACTTTTTCGGCTACCTAACCTAACCTATACCTATAAAGATAGGTTAGGTTAGGTAGGGTTGGTTAGGTTCGGTCATATATCTACTTTAATTTTAACTCCAATAAATAAAATTGACCTCATACATAATGAAATGGGTAGCTTTAGCATTTCATAAGAAAAAAATAGAGAAAAAATGTTAATTCAGGAAAACATGGCTTATTAGGCAAATCGGGCCTTGCATAGTAGGCTGAGAAGTGAGTTCTGGCTACTAGGTACGACATATATATATATATATATATATATATATATACTGAAATTGCGTTGTCGTAACAGTCTACACTAGACAACAGCAGGAGGTACTGTAGATCCCTGGGTGAGGCTACTGACTATGAGAGACACTGAGAGTCTGGATACATTTGATAGAGAGTAAAGGTTATCCAAACTTCCCCAGGCATTTGACATCTGCACCAGGTGCAGTGTGAACAGAGTTTGTAAAGATTATGCAGTGTGCACTGTGCAAGAGAGGTCTGTGCCCCAACGAAGTGCCGTACACGACGCCTTGAGGAATACTCAGGGCCGAAGTCGTATGAGAATTCCTTATTTTTCTCTGCCACCCTTTGATTTTGGGGTCTGAGTTAGTCCTTGAGAGAGCTGCCAGACTCCTGTTTCGGTGAGTGACACCACGGAAACGTGCAACATCTACCCACTTCACAGAAACGTGAGTGACCTCCCTGCATCAAACATAAGGGAAAGTGACCAACTTGCATCGGCAGTAACTTTACTGTAACACGATCAGCAGTATGTGATTGTGCCTTCCCCAATCAGTATTTAAATGAGAGACCTACCCGCATCAACAGAAAAGTAAGAGCGACCAGTCTGCATTACCAGTTATGTGAAGTGACCCTACCCACACTGGAATAATGTTCTGAGTAAACAATTATCAATTATGTGAGTAACCTACCACTTCAACTGTTGTGGAAGAGTGGCATACCCACGTCAGCATTAATGTGAGAGTGGCCTACCTACGTCATCAGAAATGTGAGAGTGCTTTAGTTGAGTCAGTAGTAACGTGAGAGTGACCTACTACCCGCCGAGCCTGGTCGACAACATGGGGGAGCCGCGTCAGCGTCATGTTAGCACCCTGGCCGTCCGCTGCCACCTCCCACACTGACACACCTCGAGAACTCGTTAAAAGGGTTTTGATGAGGTTTATGATATTGCTCTGTGAAGAAACATTTTAACATTATTACGTGACTTTTCTCCTTTATGAACAAATTCTTCTATGTTTTTTTCTGTTCTTATGAACTGGAGAATTTAACAATTTCTGGAATATTAAAAGTTACTTATAATGTATATTAATGTTTTCATTTACAATATTTTACTGTATCTGTATCTATTGCATCTCTATATTTGAGTCGTATGACTGCCTGATTCCTGGATTTATTAGAGTATGTTTAAGATATATGAGCATCAACAGCTCAGAATTATTATATCCCATTTTAGTGATCGGATTTAATAGCAGGAGTATATATAAAATGTGATGTCATTTTCGCCAGACTCAACAGGAGATACTTGGAGTAGACCTCAGCATCTCAGGAGATGCCTGTCAACAACTGCTTCTCTGCTGATCTGAGACATACTTAAAACCATTCTTCTTCGGAGCATCCCTTTGTGCCCTTAAGAAGAAGGATGGTGGAGTTAGACCGCCAGCTGAGTCCACTACTATACACAACTCAGCACACTATACTCAGTGGTGGTATTTTTGAATTCTACTGTATAGTATGTTATGCAGAGGAATGGTATGCAACAACCCAATCGCTCTATCATAGAGAAAATGGAAGAGAGAACGTAAATATGAAGGTTTACTAAATCATAACTACATGGCCACGGATTATATTCCTCCAAATATATAATCACTGATAGTTCATACCTAAAACATATATATATCTATAACCGTACTCATATGCAATGAACCTGGAAATCTTCTTACATTAAATTCAATATTATTTCTCCTTAAACGAGTAACTCCACCTAACTCAAGGGGACAAGGGTCCGGCTCGTCGTAGGTCCAACGACGACTCGTAGGCTGGCTCGTCGTAGGTCCAACGACGACTCGTAGGCTGGCTCGTCGTAGGTCCAACGACGACTCGTAGGCTGGCTCGTCGTAGGTCCAACGACGACTCG